AAATTAACGAAAAGTCAGATCAAAGCCAAATCAGGTATGCACACGACTTAGGGGGTCCTCTAACGAATCCACGCATTTAGAACCGTTTTTGACCCTTCTAAGACACTTTTTAAATTGAAAAAAGAAACATCGTTAAGTGAAGCAGGGGACCTAAAATCGCATTCGTTATGCGAAGCATGGTCCCAAACTTCGCTAAGCGAAAATCGCCCATAGGAAGCATCGTTATACGGTGCATATTATTTCCTAAAAAAACACATCGTTATGCGAATTAATCGCTAAACGAGGCAATCGTTAAGCGAGGCACCACTGTATATATATACTTACAATGACAATACATTTGATTTGATTTGAACTCTGGGACTAGGACCTCTACCCTCCTGCATCCCAGAAAACCTGTGGGGCAGGAAACTGTCTGAGACCCAAAGAGCTCCCCCTTCCCTTGACCTCCACCCGCTGAGGATCTCAGGGTCTCTCTAACCCTCCTCTCCTCCCACCATCCCTAAACAACCAGGACTAGCCCTCTGAGCGAGGGGGGGCCCCTCTACCACCCCACCACCCCACCCCCTGTTGTACCTGCAGCAGAGCTTGTTCTGGGGCCAGCTGGTTGCCGCAAAAGGTGGAGCTGTAGATGAACGACGGAGGGGGCGCCTGGTAGAGCAAGCCAGCCGCCGGCAGTTTGGGGAGCTCCGCCGCCTGCAGGGCCGAGATCTCCACGTACTGTCCCTTCAGGGCCACCCCCGAGAGCAAAGCTGAGCTTGGCAGCACTGCCCCGGCTGCCGTCTGAGCCGGCGAGGCCGGGGCCGGGCCGGGCTGGAGGTACAGGTGTTGGGACCTGGAAGAGAAGGGAGTCAGTCCCACCAGCTCCAGAGCCAACGCTTCACGCCCCGGGAGCCGATGGGCCGTGCAGAAGAGGCTCGAGGATCGCGCCGGGACCAGGAGGAAGGCCTCCCCCCCCCTTGTACCTGTAAGTGTGCAGAGAGGGGGTGCCTGGACGGTAGCTGCTGCCCCCGCTTGTGCTGTGAAGCTGTGGCTCTAGCTGGCTGTTGGAGACCTAAAGAGAGAGAGAGACTGTGCAGAAGCCCATCCGAGAGGGAGCTGCCCTGGACCCAGAGCTTCCCCCCCAGCCCCTTTTCTGCATCCTCAGGAAGAAGCACACACCGTCCCTCCAACTGGATCCCGTGAACTCCTCCCCCACAACTCTGCACCAGGCATCTCTCTCCCCCACCCCCCCGTCCTTCTTCTACGCCAGCCAAGGTGGGTACCTGGTTCCCATAGAAGAGCTCCGGATACAGCCGCTGGCCTTGGCCTCGCTCACCTGCCAAGAGAAGAAAGTTGTTGGGCGAAGTCCTCCCGAGGCTGGGAGGCTGCAGGAGGGGCCAACCCACAAAAGGCACATATCATCTCGCCCCTTACCTGAGAAGACAGACGCCTCTGCGGGGAGGCCGTGCAGGCAGGAGGAGGCGGCCGGACTGACAGAGAAAGGCTGGGGTTCACAGGAACGCCCAGGAGGCACCTCAGAGGAAGCTCTATGGCTGGGAGGGGCTGCGGGAAGCAGCTCCCACTCTCGGGGGGCAGACGTCAGCTGCAGAGAAAGAAGACGAAGCAAATGGCAGAGAGAAAGAGAGAGCAGGTCTGCTTCTCCAATTAGTCCCTTACCTTCACCTAAGAGACCCAGCTTTCTTTCTCATTCCGTCCATCTGGTTTATCCACTTTATCTTCCAAAACCTAGGACTGTGTAGGTGTCTTTTGATTATAAACTCAACCATTCCTGTCATGCTGCCTGGGGCTGATGGGAGTTTTAGTCCAAACTATTTAGAAGGTGCCAGGCTGGGCAGCCTGGCCTATTTCACAATGGTTAGCCTCCCTCCCTGCTGCCTCTTTGATTCACTACAGACAGAATTTCCAGGGGTGGTCCCACGTATGAGGCCTCGCAGCCGTGGTTCCCCGCCTGGGGTCCCCAGAGGTTCTTAGGCTGCAACTCCCAGAAATCCTGGCCAGCACAGCGAGTGGTGAAGGCTTCTGGGAATTTTAGTCCAAGAACATCTGGAGGCCCAAGGTTGGGAGCCAATGACTTCCAGCATTCAGGCAATAGATGGCTCTTTGCCATGTCGATCCTCTAGAACAGTGATCACAAACCATGGGCCTCCAGATGTTCTTGGACTTCATCTCCCAGAAATCCTGACCAGCAGAGGTGATGGTGAAGGCTTCTGGGAGTCCAAGAAAATCTGGAGGCCCAAGGTTGGGGACCACTGCTCTAGGAAATGTGGGGCGCTTGAAAGGTACCTCGTGGTCTGAGTTCTTTCGTACGGACCAGGGAAAAGAGGCGGCCTCTTGAAAAGGAGAAAAAGGCTTGTTCCTTTCTCTGTTGCACGAATCCGGCCAACTTTTGGTCTTTTCTAGAGAAGCCAGATTCCGGAGCTTGTGCTTAGAGGCCCCTGGAGAGCTGGTCATGTGGCATTCAAAGGGAGCCACCCTCTTTCTGAATGGGGAAGGGAGGCCCACCCTCGCCACACAAAGCCAAGGAAATGCAGCTCTATCCTGACCCTACAGGCTCCCTCTCCAGAACGAGGGAGCAACCCACCAAGGGCACCCTCACTCACCCCCTCAGCCAGTGTCTGGTGCAGCTCTTCCTTGTCTCCTTTCGGCCTGTCATTCACCACGAAACGAAGGTCAGCAGCATCCTGAAGACGACAAAACACCCCGGAGCTTTGAGGAGTGATGATGCCGGTCACAGCTCCACTTTCCCGGTTCGCCCCGGCACATGCAGGGAAGCCTGGCCTCCCAGGGCCCCGACACTGACCTTCTCGCTAGCTCCAAACTGGATAGGCGGGCAGGCCCCGGGGGCTTCGAGCTGGGGGCTCGGCTCAGGCGTTCGGACACCCCGGCCCTCCATGCCGTCTTTCGCCTTCTCGGCTCGCTGGGAACGTTCGGTGCCGATTGCGCCAGGAGGAGGGTGGTCTCTAGATGGTGGCAGTGGCTCAGGGGAGCTGCTCACCTATCAGAGGAGGAGGAGGAGAAGGGCTGAAACCCAGGTGTCCCTCTAGAAATCTAAAATTTGTGTGTGGCGGGGAGAGGTGGTGGGTGGCTGGCTACCGCGTAAAGCACGGCCAGCCTCCCACTGAGCAGGACTGAGACACACCTACTCCGATGGAGATGTCAGGGCCTCCTACCTTGACTGTTTCAGAAACAAAACCATTATAAGGGGAATAGGAAACAGCCCTAAAAGTGCCTAAAAGTGAAGTACTTTTACACTTGCACCATGAAAACATTTTGCTATAATTAGCATTATCAAGGTCACTGAAAGAAAACATTTGACAACAATCTCCTTTTTGGTTTTTGCTTTCCAGCACTTACAATAAGAGACATGAAAATAGTAAATGCTGACAACTTATGGATAACTGCTGCAAATAGAGAGGTTACTTACCGTAACTCTGGTTCTTTGAGTGGTCATCTGCGATTTCACACTAATGGATTTTATCTGTGTCTGTGCAGAGGTTTCTGGAATTTTCTAGAGCTTAATACTTTTCGCTAGGACGGCCCCCCTGTATACGTGGTCCCGCCCATCCTGGCAAGTGCCTCAGTTCCCACAAAGTCCGCCACTGTATAAAAATGTTGACATGACGGACAGAGGGGAGGATGGGCGGGAAGTGTGAATTCACAGATGACCATGTGAAGAACCAGAGTTACAGAAAGTAACCTCTCTTTCTTCTTTTTGGTCTCTGTGAATGCACACTAAAAGGTGATTAGCAATCTTGCCTGTCTGGAGGATGGACATCACTGAAGAACAGCTGACAAAACCGCTCGTTCAAACGTTGCATCTGACTTTGCCCGTAGATCTAAATGATAATGCGAGATAAAGGTGGATGGTGTGGACCACGTGGCAGCTCTGCAGATATCAGGGACAGAAACACCCCTGAAGAAAGCTGTAAAAATAGCTACTGCCCTTGTAGAATGAGCCTTAATTCCAGCAGGATAAGGCTTGTTTGCCAATTGATACATGAGGTGTACAGTGGGGTCTTGACTTAAGAACGGCTCGAGTTAAGAACATTTTGACTTAAGAACCACTCTCATAGGAAAATATTGACTTGACTTACATACTTAGATTTGAGTTAAGAACTGAAAAAAACCACGTGGGAGGCAGGGAAAGTGCAAAATGTGAACTTTCAGTTAACTGTTGGCCAGTGAAAAGGGTGCCTGTCTGCTTCCTCACTCCTCCCAGCGTTTAGAGAGTGGATTGGGAGACAGTCTTCAGACTGCCTGGTACTGTACTGCCTGGACTGTATTTTCCCTGCCTTCCCTGAACCTTTCTTGACCTAAGAAAAAAAGAAACAAAATATCCCCCTCTAGTGGTCGAAGGCAGAATAGCAGCTTCCCATTAGTTTCTATGGACGGAAAAGAGCAGATACGGATCAAATGGTTTTCAATGCATTCCTATGGGAAATGCAGATTTGACCTGAGAACTTTTTGACTTGAGAACCGCCTTCCAATACGGATTAAGTTCTCAAGTCAAGACCCCACTGTATAGTTGCCACTATCCATTTAGATAGTTTGGGAGGAAACAAGAGATCCTATATGTGATAAGTGTGTAGAAACAAACAGTCTCTTGGATTTGCAGAAAGGTGCAGATCTTGAGATGTAAAAAGCCAGTGCTCTCCTAACATGGAGAAGGTGGAGAAAGCCTTCCAGATCAGAGGTCGGTGATGGAAAAAAAGTAGGTAAGACAATGGTTTGACGAAGGTGGAAATCAGAGACAACTTTAGGGAGGAAAGACACATCAGGATAATGGGTGACTTTATCTGGGTGAAATTGAAGGAAGGCAGGATCAATGTGAAGAGCAGCAATCTCCGAAGCTCTGTGGGCAAGGAAGAGAGTCTTAAGTGTAAGAAGGTGGTCAGAGATCGTAGCCATAGGCTCAAATGGTGGTAGCATAAGGAATCGGAGGATAGTATACAAGGACCACTGCAGAGGGAGGTGGGATCTAGTGGGCTGCATGTTGGAGACTCCCCTAAGAAATTGCTTTACAGTGGGGGTGGCGAAAGAGCGTAGCAGCGTCTCGTGGTTGGTGGGCTACTATGGCAGATAAGTAGACCTTGAGAGTCGAAAGAGAAAGCTTTCTGTTAAAGAGATGAGTCAGAAATTGCAGGACAACAGGAAGAGTCGTAGCCATAGTAGGAAGATGCCGTTGAGTCGCAAACTTAAGAAAGGCAGACCACTTGTATGAATATAATTAAATGGTCGCAGGATTTCTGGCACTCGCTAGGATAGAAGCTACAGTGGGTGAATCCTCCATGCTGTAAGATGGAGAGTGTAATGGTCGAGGTGAAAGGTTCAACCTTGGTTCTGGTAAGTAGATGAGGTATGAGAGGGAGACAGATGAAGTCTGCTGAGATTGAACGGAGCAGGGTGAACCATGGTTGTCTGGGCCACCATGGGGCGATGAGGATCGCGTTGGCTTGTTCCTGACGTAACTTGATAATAGTCCTGAGGAGAAGGGGGATAGGAGGGAAGAGATAAATTAGGCCTGGTGTCCACAATGTCATGAGAGCATCACCTAGGGAGCAGTGACCGATTCTCACTCTGGAATAATATAGAGGGCATTTTGCATTTTCCGTCGATGCGAAGATGTCTATCTGAGGGTAACCCGAGAGATTGGGGAGTTGATGGAAGATGGTGTTGTCGAGGGTCCACTCGTACATCTGGGTGATGCATCTGCTCAAGGCATCTGCCAGTTGGTTTTGGCTTATAGAGATATGGATTGCTATTGGGAATATATGGGGTTCGAGACACTATTCCCAGATTTGCACGGTGACACAATGAGGTAGAGTTGAGGGAGAGAATGAGTGCCACCCTGTTTGTAGCGATAGAAAAGAGCTGTGGCATTGTCTGTTGTTATTTGAATGGCAGCACCAGTGACGAGTGGTTCGAAGGCACGAAGGGCTTTGAAAATGGCTAGCAGTTCTAGGTTGTTTATATGCAGATGTTTTTCTGAGGAAGACCAGAGGGTGTGAATGTGGAGACCCTTGCAATGAGCTCTCCAACCGGTTGGGCTTGTGTCTGTGGTTATTTGCACGGTGAGTTGAAGTGGTGTGAAAGGTCTGCCTATGAATAGATTGTGTTGTGTGTTCCACCATTCTAGCTGGGCTGCCAGGTCCGGTGTGACTCTCAGTAACATTGTGGGAGAGTCTGATATTGGGTTGAAGAGGGAGAGATACCATGCTTGCAAAGAGTGCATTTTGAGGCGTGCATATTAAATCACTGATGTTGTCAATGCCATGAGTCCGAGTAGTTGTTGGGCATGGTGTGTGGTGACTAAAGCGTGGGGACAGAATTGTTGAATTACAGCGTACAGTTTCATAGCCCGTTCTTGGGGAAGCAGTTCTAGGTTGTTTATATGCAGGTGTTTTTCTGAGGAAGAATTGCCCCCATGTACAGTGGTGCCTCGCATTACAACGTTAATTCGTTCCAGCAAAATCGCTGTAGAACGAAAACATCATAACGCGAAAATAAAAAACGCATTGAAACGCATTAAAACCCATTTAATGCATTCCAATGGGCTGGAAACTCACAGTCCAGCGAAGATCCTCCATAGGGCGGCCATTTTCAGTGGCTGTCTTGCGAGGAATGTGTCCCAGAAAACAGCGAGGAGCCATTTTATTTACCCGGCAGCCATTTTGAAACCGCAGATCAGCTGTCTGGAAATCGTCATTTTGTGAAGAATCGGTTCCCGAAGCAGAGAACCGATCATTGCAAAGCGAAAAACCCCTATTCAGACCATCGTTTTGCGACCGCAAAAAGATCGTTGTAATGCGGTTTTGTCGTAATGCGGGGTAATCGTAAAGCGAGGCACCACTGTAGTTCATCCGTTGCAAAGGAATGAGTGTAGATTTGGTTCGGTTGACCTTTAAGCCCAGATTCTCTAGGAGAGAAAGAATAAAGTCTATGTCGTACAGAGCTTGAAGACGGGAGGGGGCTATGAGTAAACACTCGTCTATGTAAGGGAAGATGGAAATCCCTTGTGTGTGGAGATAGGTTGCCACAAGGGCCATGCACTTTGTGAAAACGCGAGGACTGGTAGAAAGTCTGAATGGGAGGGCTCTGAATTTGTAGACAGAGTTTCCTAGTGAGAATCTGAGAAATTTTCTGTGATCATTATGAATACTGATGTGAAAATAGGCATCTGTTAGGTCTATTACAATGAACGAGTCGCCTTGCTGAAGGAGTGTAGGATGCGTTCTAAGGTTACCATGCTGAAGCGCTGCTGGAAATTGTGATAATTGAGATCTCGCAGGTCAAGGATAGGGCGAAGGCCTTCGTCTTTCTTGGATACTGTGAAGTATTTTGAGAAAAAACCTGGGTCATCGTCTGATGGAAAAACTAGTGATATAGCATCTCTTAAGAGGAGAGATTGGACCTCAGGATGTTAGACGGTGCGATAAGAACAGTTCTTGATGGCGGGAGGGTGGTGAATTCTATAACATAACCTGTGGCAATGATGGGAGTACCCATTTGTCTGTGGTGATGTTGCCCACAATGTGAAATGAGGTGCCAGGTGAGTCAAATAAGTATGAGGGGACTGAAGAGTAGAGAACTGGGCTGGATAAGAGTAAAAAATGTTGCTTTGGTTTCTTGTCAGGTCTACGAAAAGACTGACGTGGACGTTGGTGCTGATTGTTCTGGCGAGGCTGGAAGGATGAGGCAGACTGCGGTAAGTATCTCTGCCAACAAATGGTTTGTATTGTTGGTAGGAATATGGTCGACGCTATTGATAGCGTTGTGGTTTGTAGTAGGATTCTGTATTATAAGATCTTGCACTTTTTCTCATTTTCTGTAGGTTGTCAAGAATTTCATCTGTCTTGGTATTGAAGAGGCCGACCCTGTCAGTCCTCGATACGCATGTGGGAGTCATCAAAAATATGTGCAGAGCGTAACCAGGCATGCCTTCTACGGGCAGCAACGGTAGCCATGTGTGTTGAGGCAGCCTCTACGATATGTCTAGCCGTGATGCGCTCTTGGCGAGTGTGAGCGGAGTCAGACAAGTGTGCCGTCCTCGCAGACTTCCAAGAATGAAGAAAACGAAGGATGTATAGTGGGAGAACTGATTAGGCTGGATGATGATGAGGGTGGAACAAATAAGGCAGTAGAAGTGTTCTTGGCGGAGAGGATGAAGGATTGGGGGGAAGAGTTAGAGGATTGGAGGTGGGACGCACTAGAGCGATTTCTAACTCTATTCTGAGTTGCATCTACTGTAGCTGAATTTGGGGGTGGATGTCTGGAAAGGAAGGCTGTATTGTCACCATGAGTTTTATACAGGTTCTCAACCCGTCTCAAGATTTGCTGGACCGAGGACGGCATAGCGGATGTTTGCTTAATCAATTTAAGGAAAGATGGAATAAACCCCATACGAAGTGTGTGTGGGGGGGGTCTGGTCTTCATTAATGTCCTCATAGACTTTGTCAGACTCAGACTGCACTGGTTGTTGTACATCTAAGCCCATTGCCTTAGCAATGCGCAGAACCAGTGGTGAGTAAGATGCAAAATCCTCTGATGGAGAAGGAGGATTCGTATCGGCAACATCAGAGTCCGGAGTTGGCAAATTCAGCAGTGACTCAGGGGGTAGAAAAAAATCCGAGGTGTCTGTATCAGAGGATGGAGACGACGAGGTTTGGGATGGAGAGGGTTCATCATCTAATACTGCAGTTTGCACAGGTTTTGACTTGGTAACTTTCTGTTTGGTAAGTGAGGTTCGAGGAGCAGTATGTTGAGCCTTTGAGTGGTGAGAATAATGAGACTGTGTAAATCTGCTGTGGTATCGCAGAAGGGCCAGTATAAGTGGTAGTGGCCTGTACCGATGATGTGGCCTCCTGCGGTACCACAGGCATTGTGGATGGTTTAGAACGCTTCGGTATCGGTGGTTGAGGCAGGTCCTGTGCCAAGACCTGTTTCCTTTTGCGAGATGATTTATGGTAGGTACTTCAGTAACGGTGGGGGGACCGGGAAGTCATCAGAAGGGGAATGCTGGTATCAAGGACAGTACTGAAGCGAGAAATAATAAGAGTATCAAGGTCATTTAGGTTCGACATAAACTTCCATATCAGGATGTCCGTAGCGGTATCAGTGGTGATATCGTGATGACGGCATTTGATAATAAATGGGTGGCTAGTATAGAGTAACTATTTTAGGACAATGGTATTGTGTAAGAGAATCATGCGATGCGAGAAGTCCTGTCAATCTCTGAGGGTGAGGGGCATTGACATCAAAGTGATCAGTCTCCGGTGTATGATGTGTCTTGCTGGACCGCTTGTGTGGTGGTTGCGGATCAGCCAAAGTAGATGCTGAATCCGACTGACACACGGAGATGGAGCAACCTGAAGGGCTCGATTGGTCATATTTTGGAAGCACAGTAACGTCAGCTGAAGTATTAGCCCAAGACGGGGACTGTGCCAACAGAGGTGAGGGTGGTTGTCTCGATGGTGGAAGTAGATAATCATCGTTGTCCACCGAAACGGAATCAAGGCAAATAGTCTGCTGCTCATGAAGTGGTCTTTCTCATGTTTAATAATTGTGCAGCAGAAGATGACTTTTTGGGTTTCTTCGGTTTTGGCTGCTGTTCCGGTACCGAGAAAGATTTCGATACCAGTGTAGACTTGTGTGTCGAACCACCAGACTGAGTCTTGGCAAGCAGTTTAGCCTTGGATCTGGACTTTACTGAGGCCACAGAAGCGTCCGGAGACCGTAAAACGGAGGTGGTGGCGGCTGTACGGATTCCATATTCAGTGAAGGGCAAAGAAATGTTCCCACAAGAACAGAGAAGCTGCTGTCTTAATTTAAGAACCTGCTTAATAAACTTCTTCCAAATAGGGCAAGAAGCTGGCTGGTGGACCTCGCGGAGGCAGAAGAGATAAGAGTCGTGGCCGTCGGTCAGAGGAATTTTACTGGGACATGAAGTGCACCTTTTGAAATGCCCAGATGAGGCCATAAACTATCAAAAATGGAATAAAAGAGTGAAAACAGGGGAAAAGGGGGGCGGTGGAGAGGAGAAAAAGCACAACTTCTCTCACAAATTCCTTTTGAATGCAATAGCGAACGGAGCTTGTCAAAGAGAAGAAACCTCAGCGGCAGCAAAAAGGAACGGAGGCACTTGCCAGGATGGGCGGGCCACGTGTATTAGGGGGTCAGTCCTAGCAAACAGTGTTAAGTTCTAGAAGATTCCAGAAACCTCTGCGCAGGCACAGATGAACCATTAGTGTGCATTCACAGAGACCACAAAGAAGAAACATTTTGTTTTCTTTCTAGGCAGGTGTGATGCCTGTTTTCCTTTCTGCTTGTAAGTGACAGCAGAAAAGGTAAACAAAAGCTTGCTGCTGTTTAGCAACAAGTATAAACAACGTCTTGTTAATCAGTGGACGATCACCACTGGATAGCGATTAATGTAAATAAAAAGCTGCCGTCGCTTCTTAGCAAATTAACTAAATAAAGATTAGATTATAAAAACAGCTGTTTTTTCACACCACTATTAGAAGAAGAGCAGCAACAGACACAATAACAGAGTGCATACTGTAAACAGACATAAGGTGTCGGAATTTCAACAATGGTTACATAGGTTTTATGTGTGTCTTAATATACTTAGAGCTAAATAACGCTTTTCATTTTATATACTCTATTTTGAAAACTTTGGTATTTTTCTATGCTTTTATAAAAAGGCTTTAAAGGCTAGTAAAATCATGATACTTTTTATTTTTAAATGATGACTTCAAGGGATGCATTCTCTGTCTATATAAGCTATAAGCTCTTATGTTTTTAAGAATGTAACAGAAGTTATTTCTGATATTTGATTGTACTTTGGTTCTGTATTTTGTATTCAAACAAAACTACAACTTAAGTATGAGCACCCGTGACTTTCCATAAATGGCAAGTACTGTGCCTGTGACTTCTCAAAAATTATCTATTTTTAATACTTTCGGATTTCATGTTGTGCTTATGGAACTTAGAAGTAATAATACAACTTGAAAAAAATGGAGGTTTTAGAAGTTGCCTGGAATTCCAAGAAAGACAATGTTTATACGTAAGCTATCTAGATGAGATCTAGAGATGCTGGCCTAGAACTGTCTAGGCCTTAACCCTTTATGTCAGCTATGACGAACCTAGAAATCTTTTGTCAGCTGCAAACAAGTCTAGGCATCTGTGATTTGCCCTGTAAGTCTGATTTTATGTTGACTTGTGAGGGAAATCGTACAGAGCGCCTCCCAGCGAAGTCTGACAGGGGATACTGAAAGGACACCATCTTGGGGAAGGTTTGCTGAGCGTACAGAACAGATTTCTGTACCTTCTCCTTGAGCAGACCAGAGTCTCTGGTGGGTGGGGGCCGCCGCCTCTGCTCCTTCGGCTCCCCTCCCTCTGGCCCGGCAGCTGCTGCGCCTTCGTTACTTGGGTCGATGGCCCTGCTTCGTTTGGCGCCAGCCTCTGGCGTGGCCTTCAAGCCCCCATCTGGAGAGCTGCGTTGGCTGCAGGTGGCCGAGGAGACTTGGGAGTCACTGCTGAGGTCTACACCGCTGTCAGACAGGCTCATCTGCAAAAGGTAAAAGGGCAGAAAGGATGGAATGGGAGGGAAGGACCAGGGAGGGAAGGAGAGCAAGGCACTGAAAGGCTGGCTGCTCAGCTCTGAGCTCTACAAGGGAGTGGGCTCTCTCTCAATTCACAGAATCAGGGAGTTGAAAAGGCCTAGAAGGCCGAGCCCAACCTCCTGCTCAGTGCAGGAATTCAGATCAAGGCTCATCTGACAGACGGTTGTCCAATTTTTTTCTTGAACCCTTCCACCATTTGGAGATAATTGGTTCCATTGTCATGCTGCTCTAACATTTAGGAAGTTTAACTCGTGTTTCTGCAGCCACCCTGTGCCTGCCTCCTCCTCCTCACCTCTGTACTGGCCACTTCCTCAAAGGCGTTCAGGGGATCAATCCAGGGCTCCACAGAGGCAGGGCGGTAGGTCTTGCGGGAGGAACCTGATGGAACAGAAAGGACAGCAGAAACTAATCATTGAGTTCCTTGGAAGGAACTTCTCCTAAGCAGATCTCCAGACCCTCCCTGCCTCGCACCCCACTACACCATCCTTCAGCTTTTGAGGTGCCCTCCCTTCCCAACAATCTCTCTTCCTCCCACCCCACTCTCCCCTAACAAAGTAGGCACCTAGAATTCCCACAGGGATCCGCTCTCCTGATTTTGAATGAATGCTCCCGAGGCCGGTGTTAAAGAACTGCCCCTCGCCTGGCCATTTAAGCTTTCCTCCACCACCCCCAGCTTCTGCCCCACCCCCACAACTCACTGGAATTCAGCTGGTTCCAAATCTGTGGGGCTAACCCCTCAGACACAGGGACGCTCCTGCTGCGAGCCTCCCCCAGTGCCTCCTCTTTGGGGGCTGTGAAACCGGGGCTGCTTGGGAAGGCCAAAGACTCCTGAGGGAGACAGAAAAAGAGGGGAAGTGACATTATCCCCCAGAACGGTCCAGCCCTTCTTTTCCTTCCCCAGGGGAGGATCCCAGGGCCAATTCTCCCTACCGGCTGCAACAGATCCTGCTTATGGGGCCGCTCCCGGCGCTTTGCAGCAAAGCCACTCCCGGCGCCCGGTTCCTTCACAGGGGCACTGCTGGCGTGAAGCAGCTGGTTCTTGCCCAGGAAACAAGACTCTGAAGTGGAGGGGGGGGGGAGAAACAATGGAGCAGGGTAAGGCAGGGCTGGGCCATGGGTGGTCCCGTGGCCACAACCTGCCTTGAGTTTCACTTTCCAGAACTTAGGGGCCTTCCCCATCCCCTTTTCCAGAACTAAATGGAGTTCCATTCCTAAAGCCCCCCTTTTTCGTCCCCTCCTGGAAACAACCTTCCCATCACCAATGGTGCCTCTGGGTATTTTTAGGCAGCCCTCTTTTTCTAGGCAGGAGAAGTCCTCATGGCATGTACAACTCCCACCCACCATCTACAGTCTCCAAGCAAATGGGTTGGTGGGCACTTGCAAAGAATGGGATGCCAACAAAGACTTTTACTGATAGAAACCTAGATTTTTTTAAAAAATCCTTTTAGGCGAGAATCATCGGACTGGAACCGATGTGGGACATTCTTGCAAAACTCGATTAGAGCATCACCTCTTAGACTTTGTGAAGCCAAGATATTTCCCCTGAACTGAGGACATCTGGCCTCTAACGCTGTCTGGTACCTTGCACAATCTCTAGGGTCATGGAAGGCTTCCCCCCAACCTTGCTGTTCCTCAGAGAACACAGTGATCAAGTCCAGCTGAAGAGTTAATAAACCTGACACACTGCTTCAGCACTGGTTGGGCAATGGTGCCATGCACCTTGAATCACTGCTGTTTCCTCAGAACACACTTCTTTTTACCGTGTGCATGTTCCACACTCACATGATCTCTGCATAGAGGGATTTCTCTATTCCCCCACCCCAAGCCAGAGCCCCTGGCCAGAGGAGGAGTAATGGTTGTCATTACCTGTGTTGCTACTGCTCCGACTCTCAAAGCGTCCCAACGGGAGGGCAGAGGAACTGCTGCCCCCTGCCCCCAGGAAAGGCGGCTGGGCTGGACCGGGAGACGCTGGCTTAGCATGGCGGCTGCCCAGTTCAGCCAGAGCCTGCTGGATGCCTGCCGGGTCGCTGTGGATGACGCGGTCCAAGCGATATACCGTGCTTGTAGTGGGGGCTGGAGGCAGGCTCAGTCCTGGAGAATGGTCCTCTGTGTTCCGGCTAGAGGAGGAAGGAAGGAAGCGTTACCCTCTGTGCTGCAAGATGGGGAGGTGGGGCCCCGGTGTCTTCTCGTCTTATTCACATGCCATGTTGGGGTCCGTCTGGGCCCACCAACACCTGATACCCACTTTTTCCACACCAGGAACAAAGAATGCTTCAGGCAGGGAGGCACTGTTTTTCTAGATCACAATTCTGGGAACGTTGGGGGTTCAAACAAAGGTCATTTCACCAACTCTAACAAACCTGGTCTTCAATGTAATTCGTGAAGGCTTTCACGGCTGGGATCTAATGGTTGTTGTGGGTTTTTCAGGCTCTTTGGCCGTGTTTAGAAGGTTGTTCTTCCTAATGTTTCACCAGACAGTCCCATAATCACCTATCTCCTGAAAAGGACAAAAGCTAATCCCACAGCTATACTCAACTCTCAGACAAATTGCACCAGAGCACAGAGTTCCTGTCCTCTGAAGATGCCAGCCAGAGAGACTGGCAAAATGTCAGGAAGAACACCCTTCAGAACACGGCCAAAGAGCCCGAAAAACCCACAACAACTATTAAACCTGGTCTTCTCATTAATGCCTCAAGTCTTCCTTCGTGCTTTTTTATGCTCAAGCCTAAATTTAGCTCACAAGGGGATTGGGAAAAAATACAGTCCTGCCCACTAGAAACCTGTGAGCTCCACTGCAGGCTCAGCCGAGGCTTTAGAGCATGTTTGACAACTTGGAGGGCTGCTTCTGTCCTTGTAGGTAGAGAAGTCTCTGCTCCCTGAGGGGCACTGCTGGACACCACTTCTGTCTCAGTCCCTTTTGGCCAAGGAATTTACATTCTAGCCTAACAGAGACCCACACAAAGGCAGATGTCAATGGAGAGCAGATCCCTATCAAAGGGCCAATCTGTGGGAGGTCTGCATGCCCACTACAGAAGATTTCTGAATTAACAAGAGAACCAAAATGATTCCCCAGATGACTACCCCAGATTACATTGTTGGCATTCTTATGATGTAACAAAACCCGTATCTGTTTATGCTCAGTGGTTAAAGTGAAATGAATGATGCCCATAAACTGCTCTTTATTGAAGCCCTTTGACATTATCACATGGAGATGGGTATAATCCTGGATCGTTGGATTGTGTCGAACTGCACATTCCCTTCCCCCACCCCAGCCAGATTCCCCTACTCACGAGGTGGTGGGTGCTCCTTTTTGGACATCTGATCATTCGTGGCAGGAGCACGGACTTCCCTTCTCTGCCTCCTTCAGCAGCAATCCCTGCCTCACCTTCTCGTCTGAGTGGGCAGCTGCTGGAGGAGGCAGAGAAGGGAAGTTTGTGCTCCTGCCATGAATGGTCAAATGTCTGAAGAGGAGGGAAGAGGAGTGCCCACTGCCTCATGAGTGGGGGGAATCTGGTCAAGGGGACAGGGGAGGGGAATGCACGGTGCCTGTGGTGCCACAACAATACAGCACAATCTGATGATCCAGCATCATGGCCATCTCTACACATGAACATGGAAGTTTTAATATTTGGATATTGCTTTAAATTTTTTGGTGAAAATTAGAGAGGATTTAAAACAGCTCTCTACTAACATGTAGCAATTGTAACACGGCTGGACTCAAATCCCCATCAGTCCCAACCAGCTCAGCCAATGGCAAGGGGATGAGGGGAGCAAGCATTTGTGAACTCTGGAGGGCCACCAGTTTCTTGCCGGATAGGAGAAAACATAAAATGGCTCTTGAGTTGATCCTCGCCTCCCATTAAAGTGATGGCATTTTATTCACCACTCTGCTGACCTCCACTTCTCCTACGGGCCATTTCTCCAGCAGGCCAAAGCACCATATCACCGATCGTCTCTTTCCCCAACTCTAACCCTGGTCATTTCTAATTCTTCATGTCTTCTTCAGGTATATCCTTTACCTTGATGCTTTTGTCCAGCCCCATAAAAAGGGGCTTTCAATCACACACAGCTATTTTCTCTGGTCCTGCCCCTTTCCCATATCCAGTACAGTAGTCTGTCTCCCCCACACATGTGATCAGTGCAGGGGGGAAATGGATAAAAGAATCGGAAACCCTTCCCCACTCAGGGATAGGTTTTCAGTTTTTCCCTTGGGAAAAACTGGAAACCTTTTTCTGGTAACACATTTCTCTCTTAAAATGAGCAAAATGTTCTTTCAGACACTAGTTCACTCACTTGAGGTGCCAGGAACTGTCCCTATAGTATAATGTGTGTAAGATGACTTAGAAAATGAAGTCAGTATCCTTCTGGACAGCTCGGACTGTGAGACAGGAATGATGTCAGTGCCAATCGCAGACTGCCACTAATTAAAGACTTCCTTTCTTGATTTCTGGGTGTGCGTGACCTCATCTCATGTACGTGTATCAACCAACCAAAGCAGAGACTCTTTCATTAGTAGCAACCTGCTGCTGACAATGACGTGATTCCTGGTTCCACAGGTGGAGCTGCACAACAAGATAAAGAGTCCAGAATGTGATAGCTCCTGTGCCCATACTGTACATGCTAAAATGAAAGACTGACAATGACGTGATTCCTGGTTCCACAGGTGGAGCTGCACAACGAGATAGAGTCCAGAATGTGACAGCTCCTGTGCCCATACACAAAGGAAGGACTGTCGCTGCTTGGGAACTGCAGCTGGCCACCTTTTGGTGACCTTTGTTTTAGCTTGGTCAAGACAGTCAAGTGGAAGCATGATTGTTTCTGTCCAAATAATAGGCTTTATTTTGATACAGAAATCCGTGGTTTCCAATTTTATGTTTTCTCCCATTTCAAGACAGTCACAGTGGAAACATGATACTTTCTGTCCAAATAACAGACTTTATTTTGTTTAATACAAAATTCGTGGGTTCTGATTTTACGTTTTCTCCCATTTCTCAGCAAAGGAAAACCGAGACGTGTGTGCTTTAAACAGCATAGCCTGCAGTGATCTGTAGCTCTCTTCAGTATATGGGATATCCACAATTTTTCTTATACAAAATGGAGGCCTTTGCCGTTTCAAATTTCACAAATATGCCAAATAGTACAATTTTATTTGCTAACTAAGATTGGTTAGAAACATTTCATGTTGTTAAAATAGTGAAATAAATTTAAGTTTGATGTGAAATAAGTATTACATATATTTCAGCTTCCAATTTGAATTCCCCTTGCCCAAGGCTTCAATCTTCCTAGAAATGTTCCACCTGTAATCTCACCCTCTCGACCCTCTTCCTAATTCACCGCTTCACAGACTTGCCTGCGGTTCTTGGGAGAGGGCCAACTCCTCTTGTCACCGCCACTGCGCCCACTGCCACTCCCTCCGCGGCTGGATTTGCCACCACCACCACCACCACCTCCTCCTCCTCCTCCTCCAGGGCCAGGGTTGGAGCGCCGGTTTTGACGGTCCATGCCGGGCCGCTGACTGGAGAAGCTGCGCTTGGACATCTCCTTCCGCTGGGCTAAACTCAATTCATTGCTGGAGGGCCGTCCACCCACTGAAGGTGGGCCGGAACAGCCTCCTTTCAGAAAGGCCGTGGGGGGAGGTCCACCTGGGGCTGGCTCCTTCTCGCCACCGCCACGGCGGTCAGTGAAATCACTGCTCTCTGAAGCCGTCTCCCACTCCTCGTTCGCCTGATCTGAGTTCTGATTGGATAAGTCGGGAGACTTTGTGCCAGCTACCCGCCGGGCACTGGATTCTTCAGGGAGGGGGGCAGATGGAGCTGAGGAGAAGGGCTGTCCCACCCTCTGCTCTCCGTTGAGTCGGGCTGCGTTCTCACGCTCCTGCTTCAGACGCCGAAATCGGGGAGGCTTGTCCTGCTGCTGAGAACGCCCATGGCGTCGCCGGCGGGGTGGCCGGTCAAAACCACGGTCTGAGCTGGAGACAAGCGGCTGCTGTTTTGGGGGAGCTTGGAAACCAGCAGATTCTTCCGGGGTGTTTACTGGAGTTCCTGATGAGGCCTTCTCCTTCCCTGAGGACTCCACAGCCGCCTCTTGTGGCTTCTCGGGTTTCTTGCTAGGGTGGGGCTTAGATGGGGGGCTCCATCCACCTGGGGGTGCACGGCCCCCTCCTCGGCCCCTGCGCGAAGGTACCCCTCGAGGAGTGAAGACCCGGCCACCACGACCGCCAGAATCCGAGAGGCGTGGGGGCATCTTTTCAGCAAACCGAGGTGAACCAGACTGCTGAGGAGGAGGAGGAGGAGGGGCCGACACGTTTGTCACAGGGGGCCCCCGGTTGCGCTGACTCGGGGTGGGTTCTTTGGTCACCTCCTTGTCTGAATGGGCCACATCGCTGGCGCTCTCGTGAGTCTCGCTTCCTGTCTCCGACCCTCGCTGGCGCCGCCGTTTAGGAATCTCTTCATATTCGGAACCTTCGCTGCGGGTCTCGCTGGTGTTGCGTGGACGGAAGCCGGAGCCCGGCCCTGCCGTCTTCACAGCGCCATCATCCAGACGGTAGAAAGGTTCACGGTAGCTGCGGAACTCCCGGCTTCTTCCTCGGCCCCCACGTCCGCGGCCACTATAAGCGCCCCGAAAACCCCGTCCTCGGGCAAAATACTCTCCCCGGCCCCTGGCACGGCCGCGGCCTGCATAGCCGCCACGCTCATAGGGGCCGTCCCGACGCCGGCGGCTTGGTGACAGAGGGCCCTGTTGCTGCTCTCTGGGGGATACGACGGTTCCACCATTTAATACCGGCTTGGCCTTATTCTCCTTGCCTGGCTTGGGAGAGTCCTTTGCCAATTCTGGCTTAGTACTGTTCACAGGTTCCTCCTTGGCCTTTCCCACGGGACGCACCTCCTCATTTTCCTCTTTTGTCTCTTTTGGGGGTGGAGGCTTTTTGATAGGGCCAGCTCGCCGTGGGGCCTTGTCTCCAGAGGTCTCTTCAGCTCTCCGACTACTGCCAGGACGGGGACCCCAGCGTGTCTCGGTCTTGGATTCGCGACGGGGCTGCTTGTGGAACTCATGCTGCTGCCGTGGCGGCTTCTCCACCCGCCGAACCTCCTCTTTGACCTGGACCTCCTCTTTCGGTGGCTCGGAGGGAGGCTTCTTGGCTACGACCGATCGAATGACTGGAGCTTCCACTTTGATCTCTTCTTGGGGATCACAATACTGCAGCTGTAACTCCCCCTCACCTTTGCGGGACGGGGCGATGGGGGGTTCAGACCGACCATTTCTGGTCACTTCTGCTGGGGGGGTCAGGCCCACGCCGGCCTGCCAGGGCCCTCCTGGACGTGATGGTTCGTCCACTGGGAAGCGATGTAGTGGAGCAGGAGTGCCATTTTCTGAGAAACCCTGGTAATTCCCCATGTAAGGCTGGGGAGTGACAGCGTCACGTAGGCGAACTGGGGGTGTCTCGCTCCTGAAAGAGAAGAGGTTTGCAATAATTTCGGCAGGAGGATCAGAAACAAATGCTTCTCTACTGCAAGGATGATGATCTTCTCCCTCCTATCCCTGGCAGCCTCCAAGACACAAGAGAGGAAGGGGCAGGAAAGAGCCATTTCTAGGGCAATTGAGATGCAACAGTTTGAGCCACACACCCCACAACCAGAGTTTGGACATTTTAAAAAAAAACTACAATGCTCGAAACATCAAAGGTATTACAGGCGCTGTCCATCATGGCCTACAGGTGTTCTGGGAGTGGGCAGTCCCCATGAGCACATTTGCTGAGCTCTCTCACCCCAGCCCACTCCTCTTCGTCACAGTGGCAACTGAAAAGTTCTCACCAGGGACTAGAAGCTATACTCCGTCACTGGCTAAGCGCCAATAATAAAAAAGCCACCTTTCCAACAAAGGCACTAGGCCTTTCTAGAGCCCTCACCATAATCCCCTTGAGTGTTCCACCTTCCCAAAAAAATCCCTCACCTCAACCCCTTCTCTTCTTCTTCCTGCTGCTGCTGCCGAAGCGATGCTGTTGGAGGCCGGGAGTCTGCATTAGGAGGAACGTTGCTGAAGACATCTCCAGCCCAGGCCAACTTGGGATCCACCGGTGGGGTGCCACGTTCTCGGAGAATGGGAGGATGGCGTTCAAACTGCTCTGAGCTGGAGCCCCCGCTGTCTGATCGCTCACGGGGGAGAAGACCTGAGGGGAGGAAGGGGAAAAAAAAAAAAAGGAAAACAGCTATGCTTACACACATGCCCATGTTGGATATTCTGGCCCCAGCAGTTTCCCATGCCACCCTGCTCTGGATGGCTGTCCAGTTTATCGGGAATAGCCTTCTGCCTGGTAAACCACAAAAAGGGCTTCCTCAACACTGCTTACCAGAGGGATGCACACCAGGGGGGTAGAAATCCATGGGGGGCCGCCCTTGCATCATGCGGGGGTCCATGTATGGTGGGATCATCATCCAGCGAGGGTCAAAGTTCATCTGAGGCATCGGGGGAGGCCTTCCAATGGAGCCTGGGTACATGCCTTTTGGCGGTGCCTGCTGCGCTGGGGGCGGAGCCGGCGTCTGTTGCTGGCCTGGCTGAGGGTGAACGTTGCCGGAGGGACCCAGCGCGGCCAAAGGAGTGCCCGTGGTCTGCTGCTGGGCAGAGGAAGCCAAGGAGGGCTGCGGCTGGACATGGTTGTGCTGCTGCTGCTGCTGCCATTGCTGTTGCTGCTTTAGCAACTGCTCCTGGAAGCAATAAAGGAAAGAGACATAACCAAAGGCCAGGTATGAGCAAGCCTGCATAACTGGCCTTAAGGAAGGCCCCATTTCTGCTGCTAGAGGGAAACACTAGACAGAGAGGGAGTTGTTGCTCAGTAGTTGTGAGGACATCAAAAGGTCTCAGAGACTCTAGTCTAAAGCCTCATCACTGCAACAAAAACCCCACCAGCGCTCCGTCTCCCCAACAACAGCTCCGAAGGGCTGCTTTCCAAGACTACAGGGGAGAACAGTAATCCATAAAATCCACTTTTTCATGCAGATGATTACTCTGTTTCCCCCAACCCCCAGGGATCTGGCTGTCTCCCCATACCTGCTGCTGTCGCTGGAAGCGAGGCGGCAATGACTTCTGGTACTTTGAGTAGCCAAGCGTCTGTGTTGGAGGTGGCTGGCGTGCCTGGAGAACCGTCTCCGCCTTGGGCTCCACTTTGGCCGGGACTGGAGCAGCCGGAACAACAGGCCCGGCCAAGGGTGGTGGCTCTTCCCTTACCTCTGGGACTTCTTTGACTGGGGAAGCCACGGGGGGCTCCACTGCGGGACACACACAAGTCAGAGAAAGAGAGAGAGAGAGAGTAAGAGACAGCAAATGTGCTTTGGGTTCCTCAGGATAAATCTCTGCAGGCCTCAAGGTAAAAAGCTCTCCTATGCCAGCTTTCTTTGCCCTAAACATTTGCTGAGCAACTCTATCAAATTTCCTTGGACTTATTAACCAGACAGATGTCAGTTGTGCATCTTGGAGGCCACTGCAGTTGTAAAAGAGGTGCAACTGACAAGAGAGTCGTCGTCATTTCAGTGCCAGGTCAAAAGCCTTCTTTTCCCCAGAGTATTTCAAATGGGTCCATCTTTCCTACTGCATATTTACTGCTTTTGAATGCTATTTCATGATTACAGGTTATTGCTTTTCATGCATTTTGCCAAAGACCTGCCACTAGATGGGCAGTATATAAATGTAACAAAATAAAAGATTTGGTGTTTGTAGGACACACATACACACACATTGGATAGGTGCAGATATGTTTGCATCTAAAACTGTTCACTCTTCTTATTTCTTCTCATTAACTACCATTTTAATAACATTTATGAAATATAAATGTATCATTCTGCCCCTTCAGTTGAGCACACACCTCATTTCTCACTGAATATGTTATGCATCAACAAAGGGGGACATACCCTTTTCACATCCAGCACCTTAGCGACAGAATCTTCTTTCCACGGATGTGCCACTGACAAACGTACGTTTGCCAGATCATTTTAAGTGGCTCATGCCATCCTTCCACATCTGGTAATTTAATCATGTTAACTCTCTTTGTATAACACCCTCTGACCCCAATGGATTAAGGTGGTCAGAATATGGAGTAAAAACCAATGCCATGTACGCTCACTGTAATGGCCATTTCCCACAACACCATAAAGCTACATGTAACTTCTAGGTCATCAGGCTATGAGACCAATGCCATCTGTGCACACATGAACAAGTTCAGTACACGAGGAAAACTTATCCAGTCTTTAAGATGAAACTGTTCTCCAGGCAAGCTTTGTCAGGTCAGATAAACTGATGCCTGAATATCTAAGAGCCCTACAGAACTTTATAAGTCTGTGTTCATCATAGCTGGCATATCAGAAAATCATTTTCCATCATATAAAAATTCATCTAGAGAAAAATCTTTTCATTGTTGCCATAATTCCAGGCAACATCTGCTTGTCTAATTCTACAAGCTGTATCTATCTACGTTACTTCTATGTCCCATAGGCACAAAATACTTCAAAGTTGTGATAAAAATACAGAAGTTTTACAGCTACATAAAAAATGCAGGCACATTTAAAAAACAACAACTAAACTTAAATTTACAAAGACGTACGTCCGAATGTAATCCAAAATACAGCAAAAATATCTTTTTAGAAAAAAAATACCAATGAGAATGTTTCAGTGACATTCTAAATATGGCAAGAGATTATAAAGACATTTCAAAAATAAGAATAAAGTAAACAACATTTCTTAGCCTTTAAGCATATATTAAAGGAGAAAATTACTCTAAGCGCTCGCCCAGTCAGGCTAATTTGAAACTCCGGAGGGAAAGTCATGATGATTGTTGCTAGTATCCCGAAATGCTGTGACATGATTATTGCTCTTTGATGTCTGGTGCCCAAAGTGACTTTAAATTGTGATGATATGTTGAATGAATGCCTGCGGGTGTCTTACCTAGCTGTATTTATAATTCTTTCAGTTGTTTAAACCTCTCTCCAACCTGTCAACAGTCCCATTCTGCAGGGCTTGAAGGTCCAAGAATAATTTTTCAATAGGAAATCATATGGTTCCTTTTCTTACTGTAACTCCAAGAGTTATAACTTAGAATCTGGCAAGCTGCCATCATGACTGCTAGACAGCTCACGGGTTTAGGTCTCTGGCTGCAGAGGCACAGGTTGGGAGTTTTTCCCCTGTGTCTTTCCTGACAGGGACTGGACTCAGTGATTCATAGGGTCCTTTCCAGTTCCACAGTTTTAACATGGTGGGGATGATGATTAGTGTTATCACTAAAAATTTTAATGGGCCAATCTCTTCTCCTTAGCATAACAATACACCCACAACAAGACACACTAATCACCCATCTACAGAAAAAGACAAAAGCCTATCTCACAGCCATAAATACTGCACTCCCAAGCCAACTACACCAGAGCACAGAGTGCTGTCCTCTGAAGATGCCCATGGCCACAGAGTGGCGAAACGTTAGGAAGAACAACCTTCAGAACACGGCCAAAGAGCCCAAAAAACCCACAAGAACCAATACATTTACTGTCAGGCTGTTATTGTTCCACTGATAGTAACATCAAGGTCACTCCCATGTTTGGCTGGAGAGCCTGTTAATTGTTTTGAAATGACTACAGCATTCAAGCCTCAATTTTAAAAGCACTTGGTCTTTCAGAGCTACTTCTTCCTATACCCCTCTTAATTATATTAACATTCTGTACATACTTAATTTCAAATCCTGACAATCGTGTCTTCTTTAAGGCAGGACACGTGGGGCAGAAGACAGGGCCTTTTCAGGGGTAGCCCACAGTTCAGAAAGGGTCTTATTTGCAATACTCCCGTAGAATGTATTTTTACAGATTACTGGCCCCTTGCTGTTTCTTTTACTGCTGCTAGTTTTTAGCACACATTCCTCTTCTTACTTCCTGTAGTTTTGATTTTTATGGTGCCTTTATTTGCACTGCCATTAAGATTTTACCCTGATAACCTTTTCTGTATGCCACTAGCTCCCTGTATGTTTTT